ATTATGAATAAATGTTTATTTAAATAATAAAATTTATAAACTAAATAGTGATGTGATAAAAAATATTTAATCACAGTTTTTGGCCTCCATTCTAAAAATATTTTAAATGTGTGAATAAAAATGCTTTAAAAGCAATTTTAAACAAAAAACTTGTTCCGTATTACTAATTGTAAAGTTATTCTGTAAACTATGGACTTGTGTAGTTTTAAAAATAAAATACTAACACAGAAAGGAACGGAATTATATAGCAAACAAAATCTATCCACATGAAAAGCATAAAAATAAAAAAAAAATTTTTTTGTCGGATGAATAGGCGCTGAGAATAAAGCGAATAAATATGTAGAGGCTGCCGTATTCACGTGAAATTCATATGAAACGAACAAATAAATGGATTGTGGTGGGAGGGGAATTAAAGCAAAATAAAATGATTAACGATGTTGAAAGCTAAAATAGAGGAGAGAGAGATATATGGGGAAATTGAACGTTATTGTATGAAGAAAAGCGGAATTGAGAGATTGAGGGGTTGCTAAGGAAATAATAGATGTAAAATGAGGAAATTTGAGATTTTAATGAAAATGATGGCTAAAGTTTTTATATTTTTTAAGAGGAAAGGAAGTTATTAATTATTTTTAGAATCTAATTTTAGAAAATTTAGATCGGAATAAGTGATTTTAAGGGGATTTGAAAAAATTAGAATGAATTTTCTAGAGGTTAACGAAAAAAGCAGGGTTAGTGTATATTGATGGACGTACTAAGATTATTGTTAGGTAATAATCTCACACATAAACAACATATCCGGTAAGTCACCCAGACTAGCTTTCACAATGCCCTTTTAAATAAAAATTTTTTTCGACGAAATGCTAAAGCGAACGTCAAATAAAAGCTCCAAATATTATCGAAATTATGGGGTCTATATACATAGAAAAATAAATATTAGAACAAAAAAGAAGAAGAAAAAGAAAAAATTTTAAAAAATAGTACTTAGAGAATTAAGCAGCTGTCGCTAAGGAATAAATAGACAAAATGACAGACAGTCTGTCTAATATTTTAAATAAACTCTAACATAGATAAATATTTACACACTATAAAGGACCAAATGTCTGAAATCTCTTTTTTCTCTCATTCCAAATTTTTATTTTTCGTGATGCGACATTTAAGGACGAGACATTCGAAGATTAATCAAGTACAAAATCCGTGTTAAGAATGATAAACAGAGAGTTGAATTTTATAGAAATAAGCTAGTAATTGTCCATAAAATGATATAATGTGTGAATAAAATGATGTCACTGAAGTAAAGTTATGGCCTAAAAATCAAAGGTTGGTCGAAATTCCGACTTCCGTCTTATGACGTTTTTTCATTCAGATTTCCGAAATTTTTGGAAAAATTTCTGATTTTCGATATTTTTGAGGCATCGTTCTAACTGAGGATTTTTTCGAAATTTTCTAAAGTTGAAAAAGGAAAAATTCTGGCACGTGGCCTACCAACATTCTCAAAATTTATTTTGAAGATTAATTTTATGTACATATTAAAAATGGCATCTTACAATTATTTGAGAAAAATATTTACTTAATATCCTCAAATGTCGGCCCGCAAATGTCGTACAACCGTCTTTTTATTCCTTCTCTTCCCTAAGCGACTGGTAGCAAAAAGAAAAAAATATTTTTGTTAGATTCACACAAAATTCACGTGAATTTCATTTTGTTGGTTATAGAAACGCGGACAAACGCGGGCAAACAAAAAAAGAGGGAAGAAAAAACCTTGAGCTTTGAGAAGTTTAGAGGAGTATTTAATGCGTACCTGTACATAAAGTGCAGCTTTTTTCAAAAATATTTATGGGGGAATTAGTCTATAGAAAATTGTTTACGGTTTTGTTTTAAAATTCTCTTTGTACATAAACAGATTGCGATTAAATAATTTAAATATAAACAGAAAAAGATCGGAGCAGTTCAACTGAGTCCCGGCTCAACTGAGTCCCGGCCCTATAACGTAGCAAGAAACGAGCACTTTTTCATGTTCTTGGTATCATTTGATAGAGAATCAAAAGCTCTATAACATATCAAAAAATCAGAATTTTTGACCGATTGATAAAAAAGTTATGATTTAAAAACTAACTTTTTCAAAAAAATCTGATTTTTCGGCACTTTATCGATCATAACTTTTTTATCAGTCGGTAAGGAATTTTGATTTTTTGGTATATTGTAGCCTATTTAATGCTCTATCCAATGGTACCAAGAATAACAAAAAGTGCCCATCCCTTCATAAGTTATAGGGTCCGGGACTCAATTGAGTCGGGACTCAATTGAGGTGTACCGGAAAAAGATACAATTTTTGAAGCGTTTTGAAAAAGTTTTTTTTTGAAAAAGTACGGTAATTAAAAATGATTAAAAAAGTTTATGAGTATTTAAAAATAAAATCGAGATTTCAAGAATCAGAACGGCACGCCCCCTGGCACATTTGAGGGAAAACGTCGAGATTTTGGAGGAAGTGCATACTAAATTAGAGAAGAAAATTACTCACAAGTGAGATATCAAAAAATTTACTAGGGTTATAAGACATTTACCTAAATGGCAATTAAACCTAAAAAATATAAAATCAAATGTGTGTATTTACTCGAAAGATCTTCCAGTTTAAAAAATAAATTCGTAATTTCGAGAATCGGGAAATTTCTGGAATTTTGTTAGATTTTGGTGGGGAATTTTTTTCGAGAATCATGAACCTGTACGGCGGTATTCTTGACTTAAATAAAAGCCGAATCTATATTACATTGCTTAAAATAATAAGAGGAACAAATCATTTACAAATTTTTCTTTTAAAAATATGTCTGCCCTTTTAATTAAACAAAAATAATAATTATTTACAAATTAAATAAACGAATATGAAAACCGGAAAAAATATTCACTATATGCCTGTTGATTTTATATCCCTTCTGTCAAGTCTATTTCCCTAAACAAATAATTAAACGGAAGTAAAATTTAAATAAAAATGGATTTTGACGGAAATGAGGAAAAAATGAAGAAAGTAGGGGTGGGCTGTTTAGAAATAGTTTAAAATTTAGCGATACAAAAGGAGAGGATCTCTTATACATTAGAGATCCTGTTCCGACATAAAAATAAATTCCAATTTTATCAAGTTCGGGAATTTTCTTGGGGTATGGAACTAGGTCAATGATGGACAAGTGATATTCTATAAAGGAATCAGGTGAAGTTAATAAAAATTAAGGAATAAATGTACGAAGGATTAGAAGTTATTAAGATGACATTTAGGAACTAACAAGGATATAGAGGGATTTGGGAGAATTAAAGGCCTTAAACTTGAATAATGACCCGAAACTTGTTGCAATTCTTTTCTGAATTAATAAAAATTAAAAAATTGGAATCGTTTGATTTTTAGAAGCTAAAGAATTATACTTAGTAATCTGGGATACGTAAAATTGAAATAATTTTAAAAAAATTGAAAAGCTTTAAATAAAAATATAAAATTTAAAAATAAAAATATTTACTAAAAAATAAAAGGTTTTTTAGTTTTTCCCAATAGTTGCCCTTTTAAATTTAATTTTTTTGTTTATTTTAGTTTGTGAAATGCTGCAAAACACTCAAAAAATTTAGAGAAAGGGTAAAATAGTAATAGGCTGAATAAACGCGCATAAAATGGGGAAAAATAATATTTTCAGATGAAAATATGAGGAATTCACGTGAAAATAAATTTAAATAAATATGTATCATAAAATAAAAGTATAATTTTGTTTTAATAAACAAATTATGTTTATAAAACTCTAAATTAGAATTCAGAACGAGTCGGACTCTACAAATCGGGATTTCGGGCTTGGAAGCCAAAAAATCGGGTATTTTGGTAATATTCGGTTGTTATTCGGCCCAGACAGATTCTATCTTTTATCTAGTGCAAGATGTTAAAGCGAGGAATAACGCAATTTAAACCAAAAAGGAGTTATTTAAAAATTTTAAAAGTTAATACTCTTCAACTACATTTATAAATAAATATTTACGATTTTTACTGACAAGTTTTAGCTAGAAAACAAAAAATAATGAGGCAATAATATTATGAAGAAGAGCATTATTCATTTATTTTTAAATGAAGTTTACGTGTATTTTTGTGCTTTTCATATGGATTTATTTTTAAAAATTTTTGCTTTTGAAGAAAATATTTTTGTGTTAATAAAAAAACAGATTTTTAAAAATAGAAAATAATAAAAATATTTTTCCAGTCAAAACAATAAACATGATTTCAAGAATTACAAAATAAACAAAATTTTGTAAATTTTATTTGAGTATTATTCCGAGAAACAAACTTGGAATTTTAAAATTTTGTAATTAAATAATTTTTTATAAATTATCAATTTAAATTTTATAAATAAAATATAATAGGTAAAGTTGTGTCCGTTCTTGGTGATTTTCAGATCAACCTATTATTTTCATGTTTGTTCTCGTAACGGTTCTTGCTTCAAAAATTGGTACAAATGGCACCTCGAAGGAAAAACACACAATCCGTGTGTAAAGATTGCTGAATTTTGAATTTTTTCTGAATTTTTTTCAAATTGAAATTTAAAAATTTTCGACTGCGGTCTGTAAATTCTCCGAGTATGAACACTGTTGAAGTTTATAGTCTTATCACTCTTTCATATTATATTGGCTTTTTCAACTGCAAGATGTAGCGAATTCAATAAAATAGATTTTACATGATTAACAAAATTAAACTTTAAACTTTTTATTAATCACTAGTCGCTGTCCTCAACAGCTGTTTGAAAGTTTATTTTTCTATTGCTGTACCTTTTTAGGTTGCCTTAACGATTTTTAGTGATTTACGATTTCAATTTTTTTTAATATTAAAGAGGAAATTTTAAAGAATAATGATAAAATTAAGCTGTTCTTTATAACAAAGTAGTGATATTAAAAAATTTCTCTCCAAACCATTGATTTTATACCAAATTCTCTTATCTATAATATTTTTTAGAGGTTTAAATTGAAAAATCGAATTATTTTTATCATTTTATTTAAGTAAAATGGAAAAAAATCTACCATTTTATTTCCTTAACTCAAGTATTATTCAGTTGACAATAATATACCTTGAGAGGCTATCAGACTCTTGACTGAAAAAGAACCCTTTAGCAGCACATAGACACTTGATTTTAAAATTCGGGAAAAACCTGCATTAAATTTAAATCATTTTATCACTTTTAAATTCACATAAAAATGACGTCTGATCAACAAAATGGAAAATCTCCATTTTTGCCAGGATCACCGTTGGACAATGAAGAAAACAAAAACAACACCTACAAGCCAAGGACAACAAATTTTAATTCTCTATGTTCTTTCAATTTCAATCGGTTCCATTATTGTGTTTTGTTATGTTGGCTGTTTGGAATTTTCTTCGCAACCCAAATGATTTTTTCCGTATTTTCAAATTATATACCAAAATGGAAATGTTTATTAAATAATACCTCAAATTTTGCTAGAAATTGTACGATATATCAACAATGTCCTGAAAATTTGATACAATTTGAAGAAAATATACCCTTTCATTCAGCGGCAATGGAATTTGGCTGGATTTGTGGAGCTAATGCATATAATCGAGCTTTGTTTAGGTAATTTTTTTTGATTGGAAGTTAGATACAAAATTTATTTGTGGAGAGAAATTACTTCCTTATCATTAGAGAGCGCGAATCCATCAAGTTGAAAGAAGATGCCTTTAATATCCTTGTACCGTTTAAGGCGATACTAGTTATTGAAGCTGGTTGGAAAGAAAACCAGCCAAATTGGAAAGAAAGGGCCCGACAATTCTTTAAATCAAGACGGCTTCTAAATCAGACTTATCCTGATCATTTATAAATTCTTGCCCGTGGGTCTCTTGCCTTTAAGAAGTCGTTCAAATGGACTTGAAATAATTATTTCTAAACCGTTAATAAACATTTTAAATCAAAAATTTTAAAATTAAAGCCAAATTCAATTTGCTGGCGTGCTTATTGGCACTTTAACTTTTGGAGCAATTTCTGATGCATTTGGTCGTAAACCAGTTTCTATTTTTGCATTAACTGTTGGAATTGCTTCAATGTTTGCTACTAGTAATAATCAATTTTTGTGGCATTTTAAAATTTTTTTTCATCAGCATTTGCACCCAATTGGCACTTTTTATTAGCTTGTCGCTTTATACTTGGTCTCTGTATTGGAGGAGATTTGGTTGTTGTATATACTTTTGTGATGGAACAATTGTTACCAACTCAAAGGATGGCCATTAGGGGCTTTTTTAATTGGGTACTTTTAATTCTTGGGGAGAGAAGAGAGGAGGGGGGATATAAAGTAGGAGAGAGGTAAAAGCTTGGAACCTAGAGCAACTTCTGGCTTCTATTGTAAGATGTTTTGTGTGTTGAGAACATCTAGGTTTCGTGTCTTCGGTACCGGTTGTGTGTCGAAATTATGTCCAGCTTTCGGACCATTGGTCTGATTTCGGACTGACAAAATAGGGGATAAAGATGGAAAAATAAGTTGGGTAGGGCTCGGTTTTCAGCTTCTCTTTAATTGATCTTAAACTCCAACCTAGTAGCTTTCTTAAATGCTAGCCAACTCGATACACTTCTTCCCTATCTGAGTTAAAAAATCATTTATTCCAAGGGAGTTGCTCGCCTAATATTTACTTTGATTTGCATGTTCTTCCCTGATTGGCGTTCTTCCAGTATTGCTTGTGCTATATTTTCAATGCCTGCATTAATTATTATAATATTTTTAATGCCTGAAAGTCCAACATGGCTTGTATATTTTTAAATATTTTTCAAAATTTTAAAAAATATTTTAAAGCATAGTAAGGGTCGTCTTGAACAAATGCGAATAAATGAAAGAAAAATTGCCCGGTTGGCAGGTCTTCCACCGTCAATTAAATTGCCTGAACATGAAAAGTTATCTCCAAAGGAAAATTCTTTTTGGAATTTAATCAAAGATAAAACCCTTTTGAGACGTGTTTCTGTTCTTTGGGTTATGTGGCAAGTGAAAAAGATTATCTGATTATTTTTAAATTTTTTAAAAGGTTCACAGCAGCAATTTCCGGATATTCTATAGATTTGAATAGTTCAAATATTAGTGGTGATCTTTATCTTAACCAAGTAAGGTTTCGATTCTGAAGACTAATCTTCTTTTTTGATTCCGGTTTAGCCATAAACCCTAGTCATGACTTGAAAATTTATCTGAAGTTTTTAAGACTATTTGGGGCTGATTTACACACATAGGCCCGGTTATCGTATTTCTTAATTCTTTTATAATTTTTAAGGACTCTAAAGTCCGTTACATAATTATAAGAGCAAGCATTTTTTCGGTGTTACTCATAGTTCCAGTGTACCGATTGAGCCCTAATTTTTTCTATTAGTAAATATCCTATAAATATTAGGATTTTGAGAGTTTCAAAAATTTTCAATCAAATTTAAATTTTTTATGATTTTTTTTCAAAATTTGGGGTGTTACATAATTATAAGAGCAAGATTTTAATCCTTATTTTCTAGGCTATATATGTTCCAAAAATTTTGTGAAAATTTTTGTGAATATTTCAATTGATAATGAATATAAAAGAAAAAGGAACGGAGCCTGTAAGTGCTTCCTTCATTGAGATTTCAAAATCCCGAAATCAGCGGGAAACTGGGTTACAGTACTTCAAAAAATATTTTAACCCCTTTGGAGGTTGTACAAAAAATTTTTTAAAGGCCCTCCAGAAAGTCCATAAAATTTGCTACGAATAACACTTTGTGCCATCCTGTAGAAAAATCTTACCATTGAGGAGCCATCAGTTAGAGGAGCAGATTAATAAATTCACTCAAATTACCCCATAAATTGTCATTATTTTTAACTTTTAAATTTGACAGGTGAGTCCTCAATGATACGATTTTTCTCAAGGAAGGGACCAAGTATTTCTTGTAGCAAATTTTGTGCTCTTTCTGGAGGGCTAAAAAGAAAATTTTTATATAAGCTCTAAGGGTGTTAAAATATTTTTTGAAGTACTGTAACCCCGTTTCGGGGTTAAGAGATCGCAATGAAGAGAGCATTTACAGACTTCGTCCGAAATGGGACAAAGTGGTTTTTGTAGCAAATTTCGTGAACTTTCTGGTGGGCCTGAAAAAAATTTTTTATACAACCCCTAAGAGGCTAAAATATTTTTTAATGTACTTTACCCCCGTTTCCCGTTCATTTAGGGATTATCTCAATGAAGAAAGCATTTAAAGACTTCGTTCTTTTTGCTTTTCTATTCGATATTGATCGAAATGTTTATATAAATTTTTGGTGAATTTCTGGAACATATATAGCCTAGAAAATAAGGATTAAAATCTTGCTCTTATAATTATGTAACACCCCAAATTTAGAAAAAAAATCATAAAAAATTTAAATTTGATTGAAAATTTTTGAAACTCTCAAAATCCTAATATTTATAGGATATTTACTAATAGAAAAAATTAGGGCTCAATCGGTACACTGGAACTATGAGTAACACCGAAAAAATGCTTGCTCTTATAATTATGTAACGGACTTTATGCTTATAATAATATTTTTTCATTTTAAGAGCCTTCTTTCTTCAATTTGTGCAATTTCTAAAATATGTCTTGTTATAGTAGATACAATATTTCCAAGTTTCTCACGCCGTAATCTCCATCAAGGAGCACAATTTGTAGTGATTATTTCTGCATCTTTCTTAGTCCTTTTTGTTTTATATGATCATGATGGGATTGGAATTCTTATGGCTAATTTAATTGGAATAACTTTTATTGAATTAACTTGGTTTTATTTTATGTTTTTGATAATGTTATCAAGCATCTCTGGATATGAAACGCGGCCCTAGGTTAAAAGGGAAGTCACCTTCTCTGAGTGAAGCTCGCAGCGAAGACCGCAGGATCCTTCAAAGCCCGGTCGTTTCCACTATTACATGGTCTCAGTAAAATTGGTTTCCGCCCCGTAAGGTCGCTCTTTATTATAAATCTTTAAAAATTTTCAAAAAAAAATTTCCAAAAAGGTTTACGGGTCAGATATTGTTCGGATACTATCTCCGAACCTCTGGTTCGTCCGGATATCCAATGATTTTCCATAAACCGATAACTAACACTAGTCACAAGAATTTTAAAAAGTACTTTTTTATTTTTTAGGGATGCCTGCTATCTCTGGTATGATCTTTTTAATATTAAATTAATTAAGACAATTTAAATAATTTTTTAGCGCCGTAGAATCGGTTCCAACATCATTGAGGTTTTTAATAATTATATTCCCCAAATGAAATAATCCCTTAATATCTAGAGCCTCTTCAGTTGGTTCATGTTCATTAGTAGCTCGTATTGGTACATTAATTGCTCCAGTGGTCTTTAAATTTCTAAAATTTTTCAAATTCTATTATTTCCAGTTAGTATTTTTAAATACTCGTTGGCCTGCAAGTGTTTATTTAATTATAGTCATAATTGGTTCAATAAATTTGCTAATTTCTTGGTTATTTTTAATTGAAACCAAGGGAATTAATTTGGATTCTGTACATCTACATGAAGACAATAAACAATACGAATTTATTGGGAACGAAGAAATGAACAACTTAAAAATTGAAGAAAATACAAAATAAATTTTGTTAGATTACTGTAAATTTTATGATTTTTTGTAAATTTTCGAGCCGTTTATGGTAATATTTTGCTTCGTATTACGCATTTTTTCTTATTTTTTTATCCCACTAGAAGGTGGGGATTAAGTGCTTTTCGATATTTTTGATGTTTGCCATTGATAATAAATGTGTTGAGAACGAACTGTTAGAGATTTGTTCAGTGTCGAAGGCCTATGAGGTGATTATAATAATCATTACGTAATCATCTATGAGGTAATTATTTTCTTTTAGGCTTTTTTTTCTTTCAAGTAAAATTTCTAAGCTAAATTCAATATATAATTTTAAAATTTAAGAAACGTTCTTATACATTATAATTTAATAAAATTAATATCCAGTGGGAACATAGGGGTACAACGCTTATTGACGTTAAAAAGCGGCAAACAAGTGGTAATTATTGTATTTTATTTACAATTTTTAAAAATTTGTTCGGTTACTAATTACCTGTTTACTTTTAAAAGTTTTCAATTCTAACTCAAAATTGTCACATTTGATAAATTCACTCTCGAAAAGTTTATTTAATTTTGTTTAAAAATTAAATTACATAGAATTAAAATTGAAAAAATTTAATTAATATTTAAGTTTATGCGTAAATGGGAATAACGAAATGTTTTTTTAAAATATTAAATAACTATATCACACGTTGATAAAAAAATTTTTATGTATTAATATTCAAAGAAAATTAAATTAATTTTCATATGTACATAGTACATAAAATCAGAAAAATTATTTTTTAGTTTTAAAAATTAAATTTCAAAAATTTTTCAAAATATATAAAATATATATTAGTAGAGCTGTGAATTTTATGCATTAAAAAATGCAAAATATGCACTATAATATGCATAAAAAATTGCCTAAATATGCACAAAAATATGCAAAAAACCCAAAATATCCACGAAAATATGCATGAAAAATACAATTTATACCTAGAAATTTTACATTTTCTTAGTCAAGAACATTTAAACACCTATTTTTATTAAGATTACTCCCAATTTATGTGTATTGTTCAACAAATTGAGTATTTTTACTCTATTGACATTTTGAGATGAAGCGTTTTGTCGATGTGACATTTTAGGGTGGGACATTTTTGGGTCACGTCCAAAAAACAAAAAAAATTTTTTTTACAAATTTCTTAATTTTTATAAATTTTTCCCAAAATTATTCAAAATTTAAAAAAAATTTTCACTTTTTGGCAGGATTTTAGGCAATTTTCGCGAAATTTTCCCGAAAACCCTCAAAATATGCAGTAAAATATGCATTATGCACCTAAGTCTGAAATATGCAAAAATATGCATTATATGCAAATAGAAACCCCCTCCAAAGTTTTCAAAACAAGCTAAAACAGTGTTTTTTGTGCTTTAACCATGATGCCAAGTTTGCAAAAAAAAAATATGCATTTGCATAAAAATCACAGCTCTATATATTAGTTAGTAATAGAGTTGTACCCCGACCCCGTACCCCGACCCCGTTCCCGAACGATTTTTTCACGATTCTCCCCGACCCGAACCCCGCCCCGAAAAAAAGTGAAAACCCCGTTCCCCGGCCCAAAAAATTTCGGGGTTATCGGGGTTTTATACCCCTAAAAAATGTCATTTTTTTGGAGAAATTAATGAAGAAAATTAAAAAAATTTCCACCAATTTTACTTTGCTTTTATTATTTTTGAAAGGAAAATGAATGAAATATCATAATTTTCTTTCCTTCTTTTTTGTAGACTTGTGGTTGAGTGGCTTAGTCGTTAGTTTTAGCCGATATTTCATTAATATAGGATTGGGTTCGGATCCATATAAGGAGAACTCTGTTATTTTTATATTTCTTTACAAAAACAAATTATTAACGAGTTAAATTTTGAATTGAAAATATTAATTTTATTTTTAACTGATATCCCTTGAACGACCCTTAATCCTTCAAACCCCTTGTATCACCAGTAAGATGTTCCCAACCATAACAGTTGGAAAACTATCGAGGCCCTGTTAACGGGAATCAGAGATATAAAGGGATTTGTAGGATATCGAAGAATTAAAGAGTTATAAAGGGATTTAAAGGGATATAAGGTTTAGATTAAAATGGATTTGAAAGGATTACGTGAATTTAACGGAATTAACAAGGATTTCGTGGGAGATTTAATGATTTATCGAAGATATCTCCTGATATCCGTCCAAATACCTTTATCCGCAATACATCAATATCCTTATAAATCACTAATATCCCTTGAACCAACAAAAATCACTCCAGATCACCTTGTATCCTTAGATATACCATTTAATCCCTAAAAATCCCACTTAATCCCTCAAGATCCACTTATATCCTAAGTTATACACTTTAATCCCTTCAAATCCCCTCTAATTTCTTCAAATCCTACTTAATTTTTGAATAAATCACGAAAATATATCGATTTCTAATTATTTTTGAGCATTTTTTTTTCTAAAAATTTTTCCACTAAACCCCCGTACCCCGACCCGAACCCCGGCCATATTTTGCTCCCCCGACCCGAACCCCGCCCCGAAACAATTGGAAAACCCCGTACCCCGACATACCCGCCCCCGAGCGTTCGGGGTACAACCCTAGTTAGTAATTCTGCTTAAATTTAATCTTTGTTATTCAATCATATCGCTTTTCCTGGGTTTTAATTGAATTTAGTAAAAAATTAAAATCGGATAATGAACAATTCAACAAATCTTCCGGTATGAATATTAACAATATATAATATCATAATCGCCCAACGTCCATTCCCAATGGTTTAAAAAAAGAGCTGGAATTTTTAATTTTATGATTTACTTTCTGATCCTAATAAATTAATCAAGATCTATTCGTTTTATATAAATCAAATTTAAGGCCATTTTCCTGGCATATCAAGATCCTGGCTTCCATCTTCCTTTATTTCTTCCAGCACTTTCATTGACCATACCGGCAACAATTGGAATTATTCTGAATGCAAGTGTTTGTTATATTACATGGAAATATTGGTATTTTTTGTGAAATTTAAAATTTTAGGCACAAAATTTCTTTGAATCAAGATTTAAGCTGGGATCACTCTTGTTCCCGACATTTTTAAAATATGGGAAAGCCAAAAAATATGGTGTGGGTGTAGCAAGGTGTAGCACCGAAAAAATATGGGTGTTTCCACTATAAATCTGTATCATTCTTGAAAACCCTACCTTAAAAACACGCATTTGGAACTTTCTTGAAAAACACTGATGGAATTAGGTTCAGTGATTGGAAGCTCATACCAAAATTCGAAGACGTACTACCTGTGTACAACTACGAGTACAAGAAAAAATTAGGCATGTACGAGTACGAGCAATTTTCAAAATTAAATCACTGGCTAGGTCCAGTCTTCAAAATTTCAGATTCACTCGTACGAGTTATTAATTTTTTTGCTAATAGTTGTGTCTAATATGTACATAGTACCAGTACTTGTAGACTCATAAATCTACTAGTACACATAATTATAGGCAAAAAATCTAAACTTTTTGGCTGCTTGTTTAGTGTCAGATAATTTTTTAATTTTTAAATAAATAAATTTAGGGGCAAATATACAACATTCAAATCCAAAACAAGTATTTTATTAGCAATTAACTCATTTTTGGAAATTGGTCACCAAAGTGGACATTTTGTCTTTTTTTTTATTACTTTGACTGGAATAAATTTTATACCAGTCTCTTTGGCGATTAAAATTCAGGGGCATTCTGTTGTTTGTGCTAATATTGTTAACATAATGTTTTTAACTATGAGCGTTGATAGAGTTATCGCAGTTTCATTTCCAATTTTGTATGTTTTTAAAAGGAAATAAATATGTACTTATAATATAATTAACTCGAGTAATAATGCTTCAAACTCTAACCTAGAAATCTGAGACAAATGCTTCATTCGTGGTGACATTCAATAGATTGAGAAGTAGTTGATTTATTTTTATGATATTGATTATTAAAAATTTTTGTTAATTAAATTGAGAACGATTTTTAAATATTCAATTAGGAGGAATATTGGTTAGGTGAAAAGATAATATTTAAACATACAAGGTGATTCACAGGCCTCGATTAATCTAGAATTTTTGTGAAGTTTAGAGTCTTCTAATCTTGACAAAAATGTATTCTACTGTATTTTTCTATTTGAGAGAGTCTCTAACCAATTGAATGGCCTTTTGGGAGGAAGTTTAATAATTGAGCGACATGACACTCTTTTTAATGAAAAATATGGTATACCCAAAATTAATCTAAAACAGTTTACACTTTGTAGTAGGGTTGTTGGCGGACGGTTAACCGAACCGGAACCGGAACCGTTAACCGGTGTTTTTGGCGAATTAACCGGAACCGAAAACTGGGGGTCGAAAACCGGCGATAACCGAAAACCGGTGACCAAAACCGCCCGGTTTCGGTTTTAAAAATACACCCCTAATGATGGAAATTTTTGGGAATAATTCGGGAATTCGAATGACTAAAATACATTTTGGCAAAATATTTTTATCAGAATTATTAAAAAAGTCAAAATATATATAATAATTTTTTCCTTGAGGAGATCCGTAGTTTAGTGGGTAAGCTGGCGGGCGACAATGTTCATAGGATTGGGTTCGATCTTACTTTGCGTATGAATTTATTCCGGACACGAATTTATTTCAGTATTTTTTTCCAAAAATGAAGTTTAAGCTTTTAATTTTGATTTTAAATATGCAAATTTATTTTTAAACATTATAAACGTGTAAAAAGTTGTAGCAAATTTTTAAATGGATGAGGAGAAAGATAATGAAAACAGCGTTTTTTTCTCATGTTTTCCAAAATTCCCAAAATTTTCGCCTGCGGCGCTGAAAAAAAGAGAAATCTGGCTATTACCTTCCAAAATTTTCCGAACTTTTCGCCTGCGGCGCTTAAAAAGAAAGAAATCTGGTGACTTGGCCATCCTAAATTCTCAAAAATTTCACCTCCGACCGTAAAAAAAAAGAAATCTAGCTATTGGCCTTCCAAATTAACAAAATTTTTTCATGCGGCAATCAAAATGAAAGAAATCTGGCTTCTTGGCCTTCCTAAATTTTCAGCGCCTGCTGCGCTGAAAATTGAAATCGGGATTTTTGGAGGGATATATTGAGATATTGCATATCGAGGATATCAGGAGATTTAAAGTCATCGAATGGATATCGAACCTATAAATCCCTAGACATCACCTCTTAATACTCATTCATCCCAACGCCTTAATAACTTTTCATCTCCCTAATCCCCAATAAAGTGTATAGAATATTTATTTAAAAGCGTTAGAATGTTACAACATCTTAATGGGATATTCTGGATGAAAATTTGTACAAAAACCGGTCCCGGTTAACCAAAAACCGGGGGTAAATCAAAAACCGGAACCGAAAACCGGGGGTCGAAAACCGGCGATAACCGAAAACTAGGGTTGCACCCCGAACGCTCGGGGGCGGGTATGTCGGGGTACGGGGTTTTCGAATTGTTTCGGGGCGGGGTACGGGTCGGGGGACCAAAATATGGTCGGGGTTCGGGTCGGGGTACGGGGTTTTTGTAAAAAAATTTTAGAGAAAAAAATGTTAAAAATAATTAGATTTTAGCATATTTTCGTTAATTTTTTCAAAAATTAAGTAGGATATTGAGACATTAAATTGGATTTGAAGGGATTAAAGAGTTTATCTGGGGATATAAGCGGATATAGAGGGATTAAGCGGGATTTTAGGGATTAAATGGTATATCTAGAGATGCAAGAGGATCTGGAGTGATCTTTGTTGGTCTCAAGGAATATCATTGATTTAGAATTATATTGAAGTATTACGGATCCCTTATTAGTTTTTAATCTGGGGAGATAATTATCTGGGATAATAAATAAATTTGGGCGGATTATGGAAGATTTGAAGAGATTAACTGACATATCTGCTGATATAAGGGCTTCGAAGGATTAAGGGTGGTTCAAGGGATAGAATCTTCCTTTTTAGAGCCAAAGATGAAAATTTTAGAATTTTTAGACTAAACTAAAAATTTATGGTTGATAATATTTAAAAATAGAATTAAACTTTTAAAATTAAAATTTAACGCTTGTTTTTGTAAAGAAAAATAAGAAAACAAACGGGTTCTCCTTATTTGGATCCGAACCCTAACCTATATGAATAGAAATATAGACAAAGCCAACGACTAAACCACTCAACCACAAGTCGGTTAGTTAATATGGAAATACAATATTGATATTTCATTCAATTTTCTTACAAAAATAATAAAGGCAAAGCAAATTGGGAGGAAGTTTCTAAAATTTTTCTCTTTAAATTCTCCTTAAAAATGGCGTTTTTAGGGGTGTATACCCCGAAAACCCCGAAACTTTTTCGGGTCGGGGGACGGGGTTTTCATTTTTTTCGGGGCGGGGTTCGGGTCGGGGAAATTTTGGAAAAATCTTTCGGGAACGGGGTTCGGGGTACGGGGTCGGGGTGCAACTCTACCGAAAACCGAGGGTACCGGTTAATAACCGGTCGCCAACAACCCTACTTTGTAGTTATTCCACTATCAATTTCCGTTTCTACATATTCCTACACATATTGCCGATTTTTACTCTTTCCGTATTTATTTTTTATCAAATATTGTCGCAAATTGGAGCACATCCAGACTTTCCAGTAACCGGCAATCTTGCCGATATTTTTGGATTAACATCAATTATTGATACTCGATTAATTTATGTACCTCTTTTGCTAGCTTCAATTTTGCTTCATATAATTGTCGGATTTTTGGTAAAATATAAAGGAGGTTTGACTTTATTAATGATGATTTAGTGAATCTATAATCAGAAAATTTGAAAACGAATTGAAAATTGGAAAAAAAATTTTTCATAAAATTTAAATATTTTTCCAATATTCTGTGTTGAAATTTCTTTATGTAATAATATTTTCAAAGCTGAAAGATGTAGAGGTAAAAGTTAAGCTTAGGTAATTTGGCATAGGCTTCTCAATGTAGTTTGCGCAGGCAACATTGCCTAAAAACCTAGATATCGAAAAGTTTCTAAATAGTAATATAGATATATTTTCGATTGTTTAGAAATTTGAAGAGATAAAGAATGGGAAAACTTAACTTTTATCGGAGTTTCTGATAAAATTTTTCGGACATCAATAACATAAAAAAGGCAAAAAATCGTTGTGGATCTATAATTAAGAATTACAGCACATTTAATATGTTTATAGTTTAATTTTTAGATTTGGCAAACGAAAAGCTACGTAAACTGTTTCGTTCACTTTCCTTAATAGTTTTTGTAAATATCGGAGGATATTTTATCTTTAATGTCATATTTGGGTCAATTATGGCATTTTTATCTATCTCTCCGGAAATGATATGGTATTTAAGTGGATATTTGGCAGTTATTCTAAACGCATCTGCTGCTTTAAATGCACCAATTCTTTACTTTAATAGGTAAAGAAATTTTGAATTTTAAACTTAAAGGGGTTTTCGCTGTAGATAATTCACTTTCATAATTTTAACCAACGTTTTCATAAACTCCCTTTTGTTGAAATTTAAATATTTTTGTATAATTAAATATTTTAGTACTGACTACAATGCTGCGTATAAAAAAGAATTTGGGATAATCAAAACAAAATTATTTAAAAATAATACTGTAGATAATTCAGTTGTATTGTACAAATAAAATTTATAATTCTAATTTTGTTTTTTGTAATGAAAAGAATTTATATAAATATATAAAACAATGCATTATTTTATTAAATGAATATAGCGTTGCCGGTTCAAACTGAACCGAAAATTTTGGTTTTATATATCGGTTCCTGATTAATATTCTAGCTCATTTTCCTTCTGAGGAGTACGGCAATTCTTGCTGGATTTGGAATTATTTCAGTATTAGCTTTAATGTTTGGATTTGTTTATATAATTGTTAAATTGTTTGGTTCTAGGAGATAATAGAAGTAAAAGATAATTTAATGATGTTAAATAGGGAAAGACAAATTAATAAATGGTTTATATTTGTTTTTAAAGTTGAAAGTAGTTTGCAATATAAATTTCTATCAAGTCGCACTTCAATAACATAGTTTCAATTAGAGTTGTTGGCGACCGGTTATTAACCGGTACCCCCGGTTTTCGGTTAATCTGAATTTTAGAAACCCGGTTTTCGGTTTTGAGTTTTAGGCAAATACCGGTTTATTTTGGGGGGAATTTTAAATAAAATCACTCATTTTGACAAATTTGCGGTTTTCGGTTTTTAAAATTTTTTAAAAACGGTTAATTTTTGGCAAAAAATTTCAAAAATTCCGGTTTTAAAACCGGTCGCCACAACCCTAGTTTCAATCTTAAAAATTTTTGATATAGTGCAGTGTACCAGTGGTGAAAGTTCGGGACGTGCCATATGTCATTTGATTAGTCTCAACGAGCTGACTGAGTTGAATGGTACTACTCACTACTTCAGGAAGTGATTCTGAACTGAGTTATAGGTACCGAACTCTACGGAGGCCCCAGGTACGTCCGGAGCAAAGAAGATAGTAATAGATTTATGTTACAGGCATAGAATTCAGCAGTCTATATAATCAAATAGGTTACAGATTTTAAATCAATCATTATCACACTTAATCCCTCCATAATAATGTTTATCTATTTTTTAAATAAAGATGGTTCATTAATTGTGTTTGGTAAATAGAGCATACTATTTTAGTTTAAAAATTAATTTTTATGCAAAGTTTATTCACAAAAAACTTTTCTTTAAATTCGCCAAACAAATTATAGGCTATTTTTAATTAGTAATTTCCTTTACCAAAAATAATAACAAAAATATTTTTATATTTTATTTATGAAGAGTTTTCAATGAAAAAACTTCAAAAATTTCTTCAGCTTACTAAAATTATAATTTATTTAATTGTTTATTTTGAATATTAAACGGAAGATGACGCATTTAAATAAAAATAAATAAAATAAATATTTTTTAGAAAAATTAAACTATAAAATATTTAGAGGTTTTCACCTTAAGAGGCCATCAATTTTCTATGATTCATTGTTTATTTTTGCAAATTATTTTTTCTAGTTTTGTGGTTTGTTGAATATAGTCTTATGATGTAAAAAATTAATTGGAATTTCTCAAATGCTGAAATAAATTATAAAAATGTGCTCATAATTTTAGTAATATAAAAATACATCTATTGAGATTCATTGTAATTAAAATAAAATTTCTATCACTTACTGCCCAACTACTTTTTTCGAATTTTTATCGAAATCAGAACTTCTACGGAAGTATATAACACTCACTACAAGAATTGACGATTTCAAACCGAACCGACTCTAGAAACAGAAGATATTCGACTCGGTTTGCCAGTTCGGTTAACAATAGAATCTGGTGAACTCGAAAACCCTACTAAAAACCTACAGCACTACAGATGTCTATAATAAAGCCTAAGGAACTAGCTTTTTCCAAAAAAATACACAAGTGTTTAATAGAAACATTATATTGAGTTGGCAGACTTGTATCGCATCCGTTACACCATCCCGATAATTATTCTAGAATACTCGAATAATTAACACCTCTCAAATAATTATTCCCTCCCAATTTACCCCTTACAGCGAGGTTTTGTAACAATAATTATCCAAATAGCCTAACGCACTTCAAACTCGTGACTAGATATATCGTTTACCTACTAAACTTATTAAATAAATTTTTAGAAACTTTCACTTTATAAAAATGAATTCTATTTTCATAAAATTCTTTCTACTAGCTTTAATATTGTCATTTGCTTATGCGGCTGAAAAAGGACCAGATAATGAAGCAAAAAAGGACGAAAAGGCAGAAATACCGGCACTGTCAAAAACAATAGAAGGGGCTATAAAACCTGAAGCAAAACCTAATCTCGTATTTCAATCTAAAAATAAAGAAAAATCTGATGTTGCTCCTCCGTTTATTGTTAAATCAGGAGATGGAAAAGAGTAACTTGATTTAAATATTATTTTATAATTTTAATAATTAAGTGAACGAAAAAAGCGTTGGGGCTATGGATATGGTGGATGGGGTGGCTATGGAGGTTGGGGCGGTTATGGAGGAGGATGGGGATGGGGTGGAGGTTATGGTGGAGGATGGGGATGCTGTGGAGGTTATGGTTATGGTGGCTGGGGATGGGGACGAAGATAAAAATCATTGTGTAAACCATTTTAGGAGCGATTTAAAAGAATTAACAAAGAATAAAAATGATATTTTTAGATTATTTTAATCTTATTTATATTACATGTGCATTCTTTTCATTTTTATGGCATAAAAAAAATAAAAAAAATATATAAAATTTATTTTTTTATACATATTTTCTAGTTTAAATCGACCAAAATTTTATTTATCCAAATGTTACCGGACAAATTATTTATCCCATCCTGTATTAAATTAGGAATAATTTAATCTAATATGTATATCTTTATTGATAGTAAATTAATAAAGTATCATACGTATATTAATAAACCCTTTGCTTGGACAAAGAGTTGAAGCAGCAGTTTTCCCAATAAATAAAGAAAGATATTTTAAATTTAATTTTCATACTAATACTAATTATAAATGAATGAATACAATGAAGCAAAGTTAATAAATATGTACATAATTTTGTTTACTTTTTGCAATATTTTTTTGCATTTTAATATTTCATGATTTTTTTATTTTAAATTTTTTTGTCAGATACAGAATTTTTTAAATTTTTTGTCTTTCCTTTTTTATAGCGAAATAGTCCATTACTGCTTTAAATAGTTTAAATTTAGTTGAAATCTGAAACCGTAGCGTCACTATCTGATGCTTCTTCACCATCTCCTTCAACATTTGCAGCTTCTTCTCCGTCCCCTGCTTTAACATATGGAACTCCTTCACGATCTCCTGCTATAATATTTTTAGATTCTCCGCCGTCTCCTGCTTCTACATTTGTACCTTCCTCATTGCTTCCTAAAAATTAAAGGTTTAATATCGAGTTCAAATCCATTTCTAATATCATGTTTTAAGTAAAAATTATTTCAACATGTATAATGATATCGTCTTAATCATCGTTTTAATTTAATAACCCTCCCTAAGTTCATTAGCATATTATGTCTTAGATTTGTATGGGTTTGCATAAGAAATTACCCGATCCAAAATTTTGTGATATCCGATCCGACACGTTGGTGATGAATATATTCGTTTTTATTAATAATATAATTAAAAATTTAAATTACGTATTTGTATTCCTTTATTTTCTTTCACATTAGGGACATGAATTTGATGGGCATTTTTAAGATGTTTCTTTAAAGCAGTCGTGCATCCCAAATAAGTTTTATATCTCGTTGAGCATATATTACATTGAGCCATACCATTCTCCGCATTAAAATAATTCCAGGCTAGTGATTTCCTTCCTATAATATTATATATTGCTTAAATTTATGTTATTTAAACAAAAATTTTATAAAATTTTGAAATCCAAATATAAAGTTAAAGATTAATCTTGGGAGCATTTAATCAAATAGGACTGAATAAGTTTGACAAAACTGAATAAGCCTGACAAAGCCTGACATTCTTTTACTAGTACCAGCCCTTTATTAACCTACCTTGCCGTATATTCAATAATTTTTTAAAATTACGTTTTGGTAATCCATCACAATTTAGCACATTTTGTATATTAATGCCATGCTTTTCAAGATGTGCCTTTAACTTTATTATAGGTCCATTGTCTTTTACCACATAAGCTTGAGGGCACGTTTGATCGCATTCTTTACAGGTAGCTATTCCATTATTTACATTAAAATGAGTCCAAATTTTTGATTTGTCCTCTATAATAGTAAATATGGTGAATCCATTAAAGCATCAAATCCAAATAAGAAAAGATTAATTCCTTTATTGGCTTAAAGGATAATTTTGGGAGCTTAGATAACAGAGTTTAAGAGTATAGTATATACATATAGAGATATCACAAATCGTAAAAACATTTTAAAGCTCATTCGGACATAATCGTTTATTCCTTTGTTAACTTTATTATCAGCATTTGAAGGTTAATAAACAGCTAGATAAAAAAATACTTCATCAACGCATTTTTAATACCTCGTGCTTATTTAGTAAAGAAAAGCTTATTATATTTTTATTCTACATATAATACCTCTTTTGCGTTTTATATCCTTTGAGGTTTCAAGTTCCTCGTTACTCACAATACTAAAATCTTGCATTAGACGAGGTTGTGTATTGACTGTTGCATTATTTCCAGCTAAAAATTTTTATAAAGTTTATTTCTAAGATAAAATTCAAAAAAATTTAAACCAAAAATATAATTTGATCTAATAATAATGGATTGGCGAAATTATCTAACACAAAAAGCTTATCGTTACCATTTAATGGGAATACTTTGATCAGGGATACTTTGATAGCCCTAGATTTTAGTCTTTTTAGGTTACTCTTTACAGCAAGCTATATCATCCTACGCAATAAATTATTCCAGGATGGTGATTTTCATTCATTCTTGTCAGGATATTTCAATGATAAAAAAGTTATAGCTGATCGAATTAGTAAAAAGGAGATAAAGAAAATGGGAGAGACAACCAAAAAGTAACAGAAATTTTGTAAGCTTAAAAGGTATGGTTCTTGATTTTTACTTTTGGTCATTAGAAACTTCCTTCTATTGAAAATCATTTAATGATATTTTAATTCCTTTCACCAAAAAAGTGATTAAAGCGAAAAAGATTAAACCATCATTCAAGTACTACAATTAAGATCGAGTTTTTTTTATTTATTCTTTTTACATTAGCCAAATTTAGCAACTTACGCGTATATCGAACATCTGAATATTTATCCTTTTCACTACCGCTTGTAGGTCCAATCATTTTTTCCTTTCCTTTACTATCTCCTACGCCTTCCAACAAAACAAAAAAATTTAAAATATTTAAGAAAAAAATCACATAATTAGTTAATTTCATCTAAAAATTGTTTATTAAATTATATTCATATGTTAAAGTATTTTATTCGTATAAGTTTATAAGATAATACAGTCGTATCTCGAATTTATGTAGTGCTTTGATTATTAAAAATTTTAAAGAATTCTTATAGTCCCCCCTTAATGGCCTACCAAATACATAGTACATATAAACAGAAGTTATATATATATTTTAACGTATCCACTGTTTTATTTAATTAATAAACATTAATTATTAAAAAAATTTTTAAATGTTATTGCTTACCATAGCGGCATTTTTTGAGAGCGGCATTAATTGATATGTTAAGAAATAAATCACGAGATATGTAAATAAGCGGCAGATTAAAGAGGAATCACGCACTCAATTATTCGATTTTTTATAATGTGTGTAAATATTTAATAATTTCATAATAAGAGTTGCACTTTTTAGTCTATTAAAAACAATTTCAATAAATTATAAAATTTTATAATTTCAATAAATCGGAAAATGTTCTAACTAGAAAATAAAAAATTAAATAAATTACTGTCGGGAGCGAATAAGTAATTTTACTAGTGTTCGTATCCCGTCCTCGGGGATGAGAATATTCTCTCCCTACTTATTCGGCATCGTTCACTACAAATAATTATTTCTCTGGACTAAAAAATAAGCCAGAAATTATGTACAGATCTTGCCCGGCACGATTATGAAATCTAAAGGTTTCCGATGTAGAGAAATGATTTTGCCGTCCAATGCTAATTTGTAATCCTTAATTAAACGCTTCAATACACCAATATTAGTTCCCTAATTTATTGATAGATCTTCATAATTTTTTAATTTTACTTGCTAAAACATTTAAAAACTTGTCATTGTTTAAATTTTATATGAAAAAATATATTTTCAAAATTAAAATTAATAGTACATATAAATAAAATCATAATAATTAAATTTTTGAAAAAAATAAACAAAAGAAAAAATTTTTATTTTAACAAAGATTTCAGAAAAATTTTTTGCTAATTACTATTTTATTTATTCCTTTTCAACCTTTTTATGGTGCTTTATTTTTAGCAGTTTCAATTTTCCTCTCTTCTTCAATTTCTTTCTTCTCTTCAGGTTTTAGTTCAATTTTTTCTTCCTTCTTTGTAATGTCTTTCTTTGCTTGAGAAATCTTTTCTTTGTTTTCTTCTTTTTTTTCTTCCTCTTTCTTTCCTTCCTTCTTATCTTCTTTCTTATCTTCCTTTTTAATACCATTTTTCGATTCAGGTACCGCAGTAAATATTAATCTAGCCTTCCTCATCATAACTCTCTCCCCTTTTTCACGAATTGATGCTATTGTATCTTCCCCTCTTTTAGCTTTACCTTGAGGATTTTCTTCATTTTTTGTATCAGAATCCTCATCTTTACCTTCAGGTTTCTCTTCAGGTATTAATTCATCTTTCTCTTCAGATTCCCTTTTTTCTTCTTTTGTTATTTCAGGTTTCTCTTCAGTCTTTTCCTTAGCTAATCCTTCAATTTTTGATCCTGCTTCTTCCTTAGGAGGTATTAGAAGAGCAAATCCGATAGAAAATTGAATGATTAAAATTGTTATTAAAATATGCATTTTCTTATTTAATTCTTAATAAAATAATAATTAATCAGTCTACTTCATGTGTTTTAAAAAATAAATAAATTTATTAAAAATTAATTTGGTATTTTTATTATTTTAGAGGTAAAGCACATTACTCCATCCCGCTTCACCCCAGGGTAACGGTATATAGGGTTTGCACGTTTAACTCCGTGCAACTACACGTGCTGTACATGTGATGAAAACGAGAAACGTGTGATGAAAACGAGAAGTTGTGAATTTGTATAAAGAGAAATAACTAACTTAAGTAATGAAATTTTGCCTTTATTAGCAGCACTATTTATGTAATTTCTTCAAACCCTTCCATTTATTCAAGTTTATATGTTTAAGAGATAAAAAAAGTCATAATTTAACTATCTTAATTTTAAAATTTATAAAGTTTCAAAAAAATGTTCAAGAGGGCGAGACGTAGCTTGAAAAAACATGAGATTTTTAAAATAAACTTTAAATATTGACGGTTTTGAAATTATAATTTATTTTTTGTTTTTAAACAAAAAATTAAATTTAGTAAACAAGTAAATTAATCTTAAAAATTAATTAATTAATTAACCATATACATTTTTGAAACTAAGCTGCAAAACTACTTATTAAGATTTATTATTAAATAAAATTGAAAACAATGTTGTAAGGAAAATGAAGATCCAGTTTAAGACGAGTATGAGGTTTAAGGTCAATCACAAGAAAAGTAAAAGTTGTACAAATTTTTTTGAGTAATTATCCTGTATAATTATTTCCCAAACATTGAGTATTTAAAGACATCCAAAGAGTAAGAAAAATAGAAGAAAAATAAAATCCAGGTCCTCATATTTATGTGGAAGTCTAAAGAAATTACTCTAGAAATAGTCTTAATTTTCTTCTTCCACTGAATCATTATTAAATAAACTCGCTCTTGTCAGCCTTGTTGAAAAAGATGTCTCCTGATCGCTCAACTTAAGGAACTTTTATTTAATTTTTTAAAAATTATTTTAAAATTAAATTTAAATTGATTGGACATACATACATTATTTTAATTACCATAGACATGCCATTGAGCGACTTTACTTAATTGATTTTCTCGACTAATAAGAGTGTAAATAAAATTCCTCTCCCCTACGCTCGCTCGCTTTCTCCCTCCCTCTCTCCCCTCCCTTCCGCTCCCCAATTTAAAATTTATTTTAGGAATTTAAATTTTTTAAATAATTTTTAATTAATAAAAAAACTTTTTGCAAAGAACTTTTTAACATTTTATCTTTACAATCATAACTTTCGTAATCTATTATCAATAACTTTTTTTAATTTAATAATTGCGTTTAACTTTAAGTTTTGAAGGAAATTTGTTTAAGATCGACATGATCAAAACAGTTTCTGATAAAAGTTTCAACATAAGTGGATCTCAAAAACATAGATAAATTGACAATCTAAGATTATGAATTAGCTAAAAAATTTTTACAAAGCATTTAAGAGCTTAAATGAGTATAGAAATATAAAAGAATATTTATGGAAAACATTTATCTAAGATTTTAGAGGAAATATTTCTAATTTTTATTTGTTCATTCTAGAAATATAAATACCTACATAGAGTTCTTATTAAAGTGCTTTAGCTGATCAAACAATTTGCTTACTTATTTAAAAACATCCTACATAAAAATTAATCTATTTATTGATAGCAGTAAAAATAAAATTAATTTAACGAAAATTAATAAAAAATAGCATTATTATTCGACTTTCTTTGAATTATTTGACTTTCCGTTTTTCGCTTGCTGTTTTTATTTTAATATATTTTCTTACATAAAGGTAAATTTAATTCCTTGAATTTTGAGATGGCCAAGAAAATTAAGCTCAGACTCTTAGCAGACAAAAATTTCAAGAATCGCTCATCTAACTGGGAATGTAATGAACTATGGATATATATCTGTTTATTACAGTTGGATATTCTAGTGTGGTATCCTTCTTGAAACTCTTAAAAATCCAATTTAATCGTAGAGTGTAGTTTGTATACTACATATACTGGGTTTTGCATTACCGTTAAGCATATATTTTACCAGTAGAAAGTTTTTTATTTAAATTTTTTTAATTTATTTTATCTATTCATATTTTTAAATTATTTTCAAATAAAATTTAAAAATTAAATTGATTGGACGTAGATACATTAATTTGTATTTCCTTTGACATGACATTGAGCGACTTTATTTAATTGATTTTCTCGACTACTAAGAGTGTAAATAAAATTCCTCTCCCCTGCGCTCGCTCCCTCCCTCCCTCTCTCCCCTCCCTTTCCCTCCCGAATTCAAAATTTATTTTAGAAATTTAAATTTTTTAATAATTTTTATTTAATAAAAAATAATTTTTATAAAGAACACTTAACTTTTTATCTTTACATCAAAACTTTTGTAATCCATTTTAATAGGTTTTCAAAATTTATTTTAAAAATATGTACGTTTATATTCAAAAATCCTTTTTGGCTTTCAGTGCCAATTTTATGTAGGTGTGTATTTCATTGTTTTTACTTGCCTATAAATCCTCACTTTAGTTGTAACATATTTCTTGCAATATAGTTATAATGAATTGAGCTCAAATCCGTTTTTATTTTTAAAAATCTTTTGTTTTCAGTGAGTTATTATACTAGGGATGCAATTTAGATGGATTTCCATTTTTTTCCTGGCCTAGTTGTGCTTGAAACGAGAGAGAAATATATTCTTTATTAATTCAATTCAGCTGATATAACAATTCATTTACTATTTAAAAACAACCGATTTAGAATTGTAGGACTCTATGTCCTTTCCTAGTAAATATTGGGCTTGGAAAGACTACCCGAAGGAATTTGTTCGATTATATTTCCGTTCACATTATTTCAACAATCCATTAGCCTATTGTCCCTCCCACTTAAATGTTTATTTAAATGATTTGATCACAGTTATACACGATTCAGTTGTATTAAATTATTATTTATTATGTGATAGCTAGCGATAATATTATTGTCCTCATTTCCTAGTTCGTGAATCGCTTTAATCCACTTTGGTGTGTTCGGTGTTAGGGAAGAGTCTAAGTGACTTGATCAACTCCGAAGGTCTTCTAGGAATGTCCCAATCACATCCCCTCCCCTTGTATCCTATAATAACTGAGAAAGGGCTCGCTTTATAACAGGACAGATGGTCACACTAAACAGGCATAAATGGAAAAATATTTATAGTTTAAAGCCAAGAAGTTTGTCTGCCAAAGGCCCGCTATGACTGTCTCTGTCTTGAGAGAAAGATGCCACACATGTTGAAACTTTTTTAGCGATTCCGCACATGTTGAAAACTTTTTAGTTTTTTTTACTTTTTTAGCGTTAGGTAATTATTAATAATTATTATTATTATTTCAGTTTTTTATTCATAAATCCATTTATTTTTAAATGAAAACATATATTTATTTATTATTTATTTCGCTATTATTATTTACATTTGTAATTATTCCTATTAAATGCGCATCACGAAAGGATGATTCGGTACCTGAATCTAGCAGCAAGCCAGATCCTGGACCTTCTACAAGCTCTTTAAATCCTTTAGGTATAGTTTAGTTTCCTCAATAGTTTTTTATTCTCATCTGACATTCATTTTCTAATTCAAATATGTTAAATTTATTCGGTATTAATTTAATTTTTTTTATTTTATAGCAAAGGAATTCAAACCTTTTAATGATCATTTATCTCACTATCAGTGTAAGTATTATTTAGTGTTATAAAATTAGGAATAATGTACAAATCTTTATATTTCCTTTTATAAAAATTATTACCTAATCAAAACATTCTACCAAAAAATTTAAAAGACAAGAGTTTCGGGTATGGTGCTTTGGAATCAAGTCTTTTGAACTTTTAACTAATAATTCAAATCATCTAATAATTCAAATCCTTGGAGAATATCAAAAATAGGAAAAAATCAAGTTCTGATCGAATTATTGAAACCCACCATTAAAATTAAATAAAGAAGATTTAATTTTTTAATTTGATTAAATTTTCCACATTTGACAGTTGATGATCCATACTTCGGCCAATTTTTATCTCAAAACATTACGCCAACTGGAAGCTGTGATTTTGATAAATATTTTCCAACATTTTCACAGAATATAAATCCTGGGGGATTAGACTTCCCAGCTTATGATGGAAGTGTTTTTAATACAGGTTTTTGGAGTGTTCCAAATGAGAGTGAAAATCCTTTGAATCAACCTGAAAAACAATTTATTACGGAGTTCAATCCTGAAGGGATTATTTATAATATATCAAAGCATTTTGATGAATTTGGTTGGCCTGAAGACGAGAAATTTTTAACTGATGATAAAGTTAGTTAAATATATTAATAAAATCTTTAGATAGATTAATAAAATCCATAAATAAAAGTTATTTGAACTTTTATTTAATAAATAAAGCCGTGGTCCCGTTTCTAAGTGTCTCGTCTACTAGACAAGACACCCCTGTCGTCTAGGAATTGAGGTTATAAGCTGAGAAACCTACGGTATACGTGGAGAAATTGAGGTTATCATGAGTGAGAGTATAAGATGAGTCGAGCGTTTTGTAATCATGGGTGAACTCCGCTGAGTATAGGAATAGGTGAATCGCAGGAGTAAGTTTTATAAGCTCAATAGGAAGCCTCTTTGATTTGGAGTAGAGTTGGGCGGGATCGGGATCCCGAAGTAAAATCGGGATCGGGATTTTGGAATGAGGATCCCGATCCCGGTCCCGATCCCGACTGCGGGATCGGGATTGGACGAAATCGGGATCGGGATTCGGAATAATGATCCCGATCCCGGTCCCGATCCCGACTCGGGATCGGGATTGAAAAATCGGGATCGGGATTTAGTTAAAAAAATTTTTAAAATTTAAATTTTTATTTACATTGCATATACTTCAATATAATTCCATAATTTTCATTTGCTGTGCTGAAATATTGATTTTAAGTCCCAGCGCGCATTTTTCTTGGCGTATCAGGGATTAAGGAGGAGGGATAAAGTATTAACGATAAGGTGATTCTGATGGATTAAGAGGGATATCGTTGATTAATGAGATATTGGGATCTAGATGGACATTAGGAATTTGGGTCATCATGAATTTTCTTCTTATTCACCGCCGGAGGCAAAAATTTTGAAAAATTTAGAAGATTCTCAAGCCAAAATCTTCATTTTTAGCGCCGCAGGCGAAAATTTTGAAAATTTTGGATGGCGCAGAAGCCAAATTGCTTTCTTTTCAGCTCATTAATATATATTTTCATTAATTTATAAAATCCCGATTTCATCGGGATCCGATTGCTAATCCCGATCCCGGTCCCGATCCCGGCTCGGGATCGGGATCGGCCAAAACCGGGATCGGGATTTGTCTTTCGGGTTCGGGATCAGAAAAATCGGGATCGGGATTCAAAAAAACCGGGATAATCCCGCCCGATCCCGACCGGGATCCCGATCCCGCCCAACTCTAATTTGGAGGAGTATGGATGACCTAGATATTTACATTTGATTTCAGCATTGTACCCCGAATTAGCTATATTTTTCTGCTCGTACTCATGCTTTGTACCAAATCGAGATACGAATACTATTGAATTTTTGTACAAGCGTAAAGTCTGATCATAAATTCTAGGAATGGCTATTTTGGCGTCTCTTGCGCCATTTTGAGATTTTAAATAGAGCGATGACTTCACTTCACGTGTCTTTAAGATGCTTCCGGCCTTGAAATTGTATTTTAAATTTTGATTTTATTGAACTTAATATTTTTAAAAGTTTATATAATAAAATCTTATAGAAATTATAATTTTTAAGTATTTGATGGGCATAAATTTCTTATCAGAAAAAGCAAATTGGATGCTAGAAATTGTTTCTCATAAAAATAAAATAAAAGAAGGTAAAGTAACAGAAAAATATGAAAAGTTTGGAAATTATGATGATAAAAATATGTTTAAGACATTTGAACTACTTGATAGATATGCGAGGTTTATTTAATTACTAAACAGAAAAGCTTGATAGAATGACACCTCGGATTAATTAACTCTCTCGATGAAAATCTCACTGTTTCCGGAATATGGTTTACCCATAAAATAACTCTAGATTGCCATTATTTATGCTTAAATTTATTTTTAGTTGTGTTGCTAAGTGGAATAAGAGGAATATTATATCAATCACCGGTCCAATATCAGTACTTGTTTCAGAAAAAATTGAAAGGAAGGGAAGTGTCAAGAGTTATCCGGTAGGGATTTAATTATCTTAACATTGTATTTAAAGTTTTCCATGGCCTGATTCCTCTGATCGTTGACATTGGGAATATCAGAATACAACTATTTCCTAGTCGAATTTCCCTATTTACTGTGCACTGGGTTGACGAACTATCCCGCAAGGAAGAGAGTTCATGTATTTTATCAACGATTCCTGTATTTTCTCAACGGGCAGAACCTTAATTATCTCATTATTACAATCACATTCTTCATCAAATTAGTTAAAAGAACTTTTCTTCATTTTTATAATTTATTATTTAAGTTCAACAATGAAGTAAAGCATCCCCCAATAAACCAAGTTTTCAAAGTTATTATTATTGAATATGAAAGTAAAAAATATTGTTCTGACATAATTTTTACTGATGCTATTTGGAATGAAGATACAAAATCTGATGATAGTCCTAAAGAAAATTGTGGAAAAGACCATTTAAATAGTAATTGGGACTACAAAAGTTATATTAAAGATTCTAAAATAATGGGAGAATTATTCAAAAATGAATTGGAATTTTTAGAATGGTATATTGGATTTGAGTTGAAAGATTTGTTACATAATTCTGGAGTTGTTAAGATAGAGAGCTTAGGTAAATTCAATAAAATATAATCAAACAGAATTTCATTTTCTCATTTTTTGATCCCCTTCCAAATCGCGCTCTATCGGAGAAGGCCGTTTAACTAGAAAATATAAGAAATTCTATTCCTCACACACCTTTTGCATAAATTCACTTATCTTCTCGGTAATTCATAGCGGTATATATATACTCATTAATAGGCTTGACCCATTCATAATTTTCGAGGTTGTTTCGAATTTTTAGTATTCTTAGAAAATCCCTTTAACATGAAATTCAAGATTAAATCTTAATGCATAAGTTAACTAATGAATCCTCGATTGCCTAACTTAAGGTCAACCTCTTATTTTGATCTTTTAAATTTCAAGTATCATGCCTTAGGTCTCGTATTAGTTTTGAGTTAAGAAAAATTTTTAGTCTTGAACAGCTCTAATATAAAGTTTCTAAGTTTTTATAAAATCTAAACAAATTATAGATATTTGTGATAATAGCAAATTGTTTAAAGCAGCAGATCCAACCTCCAAAAATAAGTTCAAAAGATATAAAAATGAATTATATCCTCCATCATTTTCAAAAAAATTTAAAAATATCAAATTAAGCGATATAAAGGAGGCAAATAGAGAAAAATATAGAAAATCAAATATTCGAATATATAAGGTTGCTTAAATTTAATCTTTTAATGATTTATTAATCGTGGTTTTTTTGATAATTTTTGTTTCATTCCTTGCTTCTGTGTTTGAGAGGAATCTTCCTTAAAACAGGAATTTCTTAGAAGGAATTTTCGGCTGTATCGGAAAACAGTGCCGGCATCACATTTTTCCTTATTTCTAAAAAAAGGTTAATTTTCCTATATTTTTCTCTCTATTTTTGATTTGTGCCTTAAGACTATAAATGCAAAAGGATTATTTCTCTTTAATTTTAAGAGCGTTTACTTTTTTCTGCCCGTATTTTTACTGACCGATGTGTGTGCGTGTTCTGTCTGTCCAAGTTCGTCCGTGTTTTTGTCTGTCCGAGTTCGTCCGTGTTTTGTCTGTCCGAGTTCGTCCGTGTTTTTTCTGACGAACTCGGACAGACAAGCACGGATGTGTGTGCGTGTCTGTCTGTGACCGTCCGTGCTTGTCTGTCCGAGTTCGTCAGAAAAAACACGGACGGACCCGGACAGACAAAACACGGACGAACTCGGACAGACAGAACACGCACACACATCGGTTAAAATTAAAGAGAAATAATCCTTTTGCATTTATAGTCTTAAGGCACAAATCAAAAATAGAGAGAAAAATATAGGAAAAGTAACCTTTTTTAGAAATAAGGAAAAATGTGATGCCGGCACTGTTTTCCGATACAGCCGAATTTTCAATTACTAAAAGACCCCAGGATGAGAGACAAGTTATAAAAACCAAGAATGTCCTAGAGTGAAATTGTCAGAAAGAAGGGGAGAAGCTTTCCGAAAAAATCCAACTTCCATAATTAATAAAAAAAATTTTAAGGATTTTATCATAAACTTTAATAGAAGGAAGAGAATACCAAATTGGGTTTTGGAATATTTAACGAAGGAAAGTATGAATAATTTAACAGCACAAAAATTTTGGTGGTCAGCTGATCCAAATTTTTCTGAAATATTCCAGCCAAAATATAATGATTATGAGTGTCATCCGGTTTAATCAAATATTTTCCCCATAAATTTTGTAAATTAAGAATTCTATATATAATCATGGCCATCTAGCAACGGGAAATTTTCATCCACACGAGCAAGGCTTTTACCTTACAAATTCAGTGCCACAACACAATGAAGTTAACAGTGGACATTGGAGGGTTATCGAAGAATACATTAGGTAAATAGTACTAATTTTGGTTTAGTATAATAATTTAGAGCCCTGATTGCCTTTAAATGTATAAGAATAACTACAGTAGGATCTCACTTTGGCGTATCCACTAGAGAGATCCCCTAGCTGGTATTATTGTAAGGATGATTCACCCAGCAGCATTTAAAACGCTTAGGCGGGGGTTAAACGATCTAAAAAGGAAAAAGAGAAAGCATTAGTCGATGCCCCGGTAGCTCAGAGGTAGAGCTCCTGCATATATCGAGCGAAAGCGGGAGTCGCAGGTTCGAATCCTGCCCGGTGGCTAAACTTTTGCAAAACTCTTTCTTTATAATGAAGATAACATATGCTTAGATAGTACATATCATATTTATTTTAATATAACGACATGTTGTTTTATTTTTCAACCCTCTTCTAGGTTTCATATTATTAGAGACTGTCGTTATATTAGAATAAATACGGTATATCGTTTTAATTTTAAAAATGGTGTATTAAATTTTTTTAAGTTGTATGGCAAAAGGAGCAGAAGAAACATTTATACTGGACCATTATTTTTGCCAAATCAAAAGAAAAATTTAATGGAATTTCAAGTAATTTATTGTAATATAATATAAGATAGTAAATTATATTTTAAATATTAGGTTGTTGGGTCTAAAGAAATTTATGTACCTACACATTTGTTCAAAATTGTTATCCTTAAAATATTTGATAATTCTAAATGGAAGTATTGGTTGGAGTCTTATGTAATGACGAATACGAATTTAAATGAGTTATTTGACGTAAAAGATGGTATGTTTTAGATCGAGATCTTTTTGCTCTATTTTGAAGGCAAGGTTCTAAGAAGCAACCAAACTAAGAATAATCTATCCTAATACACAGAGCCTTTATTCTCTCAAAATATAACTCTCAATGATGTAAAAACAATACAAATGAACAGTGCTTGGTATGGCTCCGGGAGCTAGCTCTGGAGCCGGCTCCGGGCGAGCCAGAGCTAAGATTTTGGAAACCCCGAAGCCGGAGCTGTAGCCGGAGCCAAGAATTTGAAGTGCCCGGAGCCGGAGCCAAGGTTTTCCAATTCCCCACGGCTCCGGCTATACACCCCTAAAGATGGGTTAGAGAAAAAGAAGTAAGCAAAAATGGTAGCCCGGAGCCAACATGGAGCGGTTCCGAAAATCGCTGGCTCCGGAGCTGGAGCCGGAGCCAAGATTTTGAAACCCCGGAGCCGGAGCCAAGAATTTGAAAGCGCGGAGCCCGGAGCCAGAGCCAACAAATGGCAAATACCCAGCACTGCAAATGAATGAACTTCAAAATGAACCTGACTCACTGAGTCACCATAAAAAATATCTAAACTTGTTTAAAAATTTTTAAAAAATCAAATTTTTTACATATTAAAATTCGCCATTCGACAAAATCAGGCCGTTGACCTAAAATTTGTTTATATTAATTTTCAGAAGAAACAAGGAAATTCGTTCCTGATGGATCGCCAGAAATTGTTCATAATTGCCGAAAGATGCCATATTTCCTTGAATATGTGGAGGAGATAAAAAAATACACAGAGAATAATTTTCCAAGACATATAGTTAATTTACTAAAATATTATAGAAGGTCATATAAATTTATTGAAGAAAATAGTGACTTTCGATTGTTAACTTTCTTAAGTGAAAATATAAAAGGAATAAAGGATGGTGTTCTTTTTGAAGATAACAAGCCTGTTAAAAAAATATAAAAGGAATAAAGGATGGTGTTCTTTTTGAAGATAACAAGCCTGTTAATACTTCAGAAGATTTACCATTAAATAATAGTGAAACAATAAAGGATAATGTCGAAAAAGTTGATATAGGCGGGTCCCAAACAGAAAATAAAAAATCCAAAAAGAAAAAAAGTAAACAAAAAAATAAGGATGTAAAAATGGAAGAACCTGCAGAGAATATTGATAAAGAAACTACAAATTTAAAAATGGAGTTGGTAGAAAAAAATTTAATAGAGAACCCGAAGGTTTCCGTTAATATTAGTTTGTATTGTAGTAATTATTTTAGATTAAAGATGATCAACAAAAATTAGTTCTAGATCATAAAAAAGAATGGAAGGAATCGTCAAGTAAAAAGAAGAAAAAGGGCAAAAAACAAAATATAAAAATAATTTCTGATATAAAGGAAAATATAGAAGATAAAAATAAGGAATCTTGGATTATTGAAAGTGATGAAAGTTTGGAAAAACAATATTTAAATAAACTAAAGATTACTGATGATAATCTGTCACTAACACAATCAGAGGATTTAAGGGTATGAACATCTGTAATAATAATTAAATGCATAATGTGAAACTTGTTGTAGCATTAGAATGTG